GTGAGCCCCCACCCTATTTTCCTTTAGGCGATCTTTGAAAACTCACTTTATTATATTAAATTGTAAGCTCCATGAGTAGGGTCCTCCTATTCCTTCTGTACTGAAATGTATTGTAATTGTACTGTCTCCCTTATAGTGTAAAGCGCTGTGCAAACTGTTGGCGCTATATAAATCCTGTATAATAATAATATATATTACTGTCTCAAGACTGAACTGCTGATGTCATGAGAAGGGTGCCTATAGGGCATCCCAAAACAGATGGAATAAACTCAAATGAATTTAGCCAGTTCTTCTCAACATGTTTCACGGTGTCCACCACTTCCTCAGGAGTATTTTTCTCAAAATTGTGGGTCTTTTTTTGTTTAAGCGTGAAAAGTAAAAAATACCAAAAATGCAAAGCTGATAAAATACCACCAAAAGAGAACCTATTTGTGGGGAAAAAAGGATAAACATTCAATTATGTACAGCATTGCATAACTGTGCAATTGTCAGTTAATGTAACGCAGCGCAGTATCACAAAAAAATGACCTGGTCATAGAAGGGGGGTAAATCTTCGAAATCAACAAAAGAAAGGATTATATATCTTGGATCAAATCCAAACTGGCAGATTTGGAAGATTGTTCATGTAGAAACAACATTAAAATTTGCTGAATCCTACAGTCAAACTGCAAGAACTATAGGCCTATTTTCCCCACATCCTCAGTGCTGCCTTGCCAGACTTGCCTCCTGAAGATTTGGTCATAGACTGTATCCAAAGACTTTCTAAGCCTAAACATGTGCCTGAATATCTCCCTAGGGACACTATAGTTCGAATAAATCACTACCATGTAAAGGAAAAACTGCTGTCCCTGATCAGAAACAGCAATCGCCTGAATGCCTGCCTATGAGGTCTCATGCTCTTCACTGATTTATCTTGATACCATGCAATGGAAAAGAAACTTAATGACTATCACCAAATCACTTTGTAACCATCAGATTTCCTATAGATGGAACTATCCAGCTAAGCTTCTCATTGATTATGAAGGTGACACAGTCTCAATTACTACTGTGAGCCTTGCCCTTTTGAAAAAAATGTGTTTTCTGGATGCTGATCCTACGCCTCCACAGCTTTCTCAGCTGTCTGCATGGCAAGATGTTGAAGCAGGCTGAAACCCGACTGTCTGTCTCCCAAGCAGTTCAATATCATTTAGCTCCAATGGCTTCTAATGTGCTGCCTTTTTCTGGTTCTTCTCTACCTTTTTTTTTTTTACCAATTTTAGCAGATCTGTATCTGTTGAATCTGTCTTTTCCCTGTTGAATCACCCTTCTTTTTATTGTTATTTTGTATATGTCCTGTTTGTTCCTAGAGTGTTGATTCCTCATTTTATTTCTTTTTTTTTAAATGTCTTTCATTTATTTATTTTGGAAACAGCTGTTCTGGCATCAATGTTGACCACTTTTAGTCATGCTGAAGTAGGGCTCCCTACCAGATGTGTGCACTAACACCTAACAATTCATTACTGCTAACATCTTCTCTAGACCTCCATCCTATATAGGTTCCCATCATTGCTACTTTTGAATACCTAAATTGACCTTGCCCTATGAACCTCAAGCTGGTCTCGTTCAATGTGAAAGGCCTTAATAGCTCTGCTAAATGCAGTATGCTATGAAAAGAAACAAAAAAACTCCAGTGCAATATTTGCTTCATTCAGGAGACTCACCTTTGTCAAAACAACCAGCCTGCATAAAAACTTTCCACATATTTGATACTCTAATGCACCTACCAAGCGAAGAGGAGTACTAATAACCATTAAAAACACCGTGACCTTTAAAATTATTTCCTTGAATAAAGATAATCAAGGACGCTACATTAGCTTAACTTGCAAATTTAATAACAAAAGCAAAATTAATAACAAAATCTACACATTTATGAATGCATACCTGCCCAATGTGAAACCTCTTTCCTTTCTGAAAAATGCCTGGAAAAAAGCCAAGGCTGTTCGGAAAGGCAACTTAATCTTATGTGGGGACTTTAATGCCATCCGGGTACCAGCTCCTCGATATGTCCGACCCTAAACACAATCGTTCTTTCAGATTGCTTCTTCACAGTTTTATTTCCTCTTCCAACTTTTTGACATACGGCATTGTCAATAAGCTTCAGAAGATTATTCCTTTTTTTACATGCACACTTGACTTATTCTTGAATTGACATTTTTCTAGTTGATAAAGTTTTTGTTGCAAAACATAAGTGAGTCTAAGATGCATAATTATACTTGGTCAGACCATGCACCTGTATCTGTCACCATCACAGGGGGCCTACTGCAAACTAGAGCTAGTAGATGGTGAAAGGATACCTATCTAATGTCTTTGCCAGAGAACCGTAATACCATACTTAGTCATATTAAAGAGTTCTTTGCATTGGATGAGAATTTGGTTTTCGACCCCTTTACACTGTGGAACTCACACAAAGCTTATATGTGGGGCGTTCTCCTTAAAATTAGCTCAGTTGCTAAAAGATCTAGGACACAGCGGCTTAACGTCCTGTTACAAACCATCCAATCTTTAGAGAGGGAAAACAAGAAAAATTCCTCCATATCTATTAGCTCTCAGCTATTTAAAGCAAGGTAAGACCTGAGACTACTACTCATCACCCAATACAACTGCCAATTAAGAACGTTAAGATCCAATCCCTACTGTCACAGCAATAAGGAAGGCAAGCTTCTTTCCAACCAAGTCAAAGAAAAATCCTTTAAACAAAATATACCATATTTACATCATCATCTCTCAGGTGATAAACTCACCAACCCTGAAGACATAGCGGATGCTTTTAGCTCCTACTATGACAAATTATACAATTTAAAGGATGATGCTTCAACTTTTAAAACCGACTCCTCAACTCATTGAAGAGTTTTTAGATTCTATCACCCTCGCAACACTGACACAAGCTGAGTTGGCCTCTTTGAACCAACATTTACAGCACCTGAAACTGAGGCCACTGTTAAATAACTACCTTATAACAAATCTCCAAGCACAGATGGTTACTCAACTGAATACTAAATTATTTTTTAATTCACTTACAACCTACATGGGAAAGGTCTTTAACTCAGATGTGTCCTGAGCATCATTTCTCCCAGAGATGTTGACAGCTACTACTGTAACACTCCCTAAGACAGGAAAAAAGTTGGACTCCCCCCAAAACTTTAGGCCGATTTCACTCATTAATGTAGTTTTAAAGATTCATGCAAAACTCATTGCCGATAGAATCGCTAGCTTTCTTCCTTGATTGTAAAAATCAGACCATGTAGGCTTCATTCCAGGAAGACAAGCCCTCAATGCCACATGATGAATTTTTAACCTCTTGCAAATTCAGAATCTTATGGTTATCTTTCTCTCTTAGTCACACTGGATGCGGAAAAGGCATTCAGGATACATTGGGGATATCTGTCCCAGTTACTCTATAAATTTGGCTTCTCAGGTGAAATTCACTCTATTTCTGCTTTATACATTCAACCTTCCACCTATGTCATATCTGAGGGGATGTTCTCCAGTCAATTCCATATCACCCATGGCACAAGACAGCGGTGTACCCTCTCCCCTTCAATATTTTCATTTATTATGGAACCATTAGCTGAAAAATTTCATACAGATCAACTGATAGAAGGCATGACAGCTAACCATACCATACATACAATCACGTTGTTTGCAGATGATGTCATACTGACATTAATTACCCAGCTTTTTCCCTGCCAAGGGCATATGAGATTCTTCAGCATTTCCACAATCTTATTATAAGATCAATGTTGCCAAGTCTAGAGTTCTTGGTGTTATTATTGATATGAAAACCCAGGTTTATCTTCAGAACATTCTCCCTTTCCTATGACCCAAAAAGGTCCTCTAAAATACTTAAGCATTAATATCAACACCCTTGTCCAATCTATTTCCAGCAAATTTTCCACCTCTCATGGATGTCGTCCATCGTGAACTGGAAAGAATGAAAAAATGCTAGTTAGTGACCTATCCCATAAGGCGAGACCACTATTCCAATACCCCTTGAAACCCTTCATATTTTTCTCTCAGAAATATCCCTTAAACATTGGGAACTTAAAGGTAGCCTTACAACAAATGACCTCATGGAGTATGAGACATTGCTCCGTTTTTTCTATTCCTCCCACTGACTATTTGCTTTACGCTAGATTGGCCTCATTTCTTAAACGGCACCCCTTCCCACTTTTAGAATACCCTTTTCAATTTGGTCTTTCTGGAATTCTGATTCTAGAACTACCAGAGGTATCTCATTGTTCTATCATAAACTCAACTCCAAGTCAATTTTTGTTAAAAATCCCCTTTTGCGAAAATGGGAAACAGAATTGCAAGTTTCTTATTCGGATGCACAATGGCAAAAGGCCATTCTATATAACTACTCATACTCAAAATGTGCTTACCATTGGGAATTGGCCCACGAGATACACATTAGATGATACTTAACACCATACTCTATGGCTAAATTATGTGCTAATGGTGATAACCTTTGTTGGAGGGGATGCAGACAAGTGGGCAATTTATCTCATATGCTTTGGTCATGTATCAGCATTAGCAGTTACTGGAATTTGATATTCAGATTGCTTTCCAAAGTAACTAGCATCTTTGTTAAGGCTAATGTAGAACAGGCAATCTTAATATAAATATAGATAGATTTCCGAGCCAAGTCAGACCTATAGCTGTGAATATTCTGGCGGTAGCCCGCCTTATAATAGTTAAAAAATGGAAATCTTTTGTGATCCCCAATATCTTTCAGGTTAAATGCCATCTTGATATAATCTTAGGATATGAGCAGCTAATGACGTTTAAAGACGGTACACAAAATCAGTTTCAGCAGCATTGGGAACCCTAGTTATCCTACAAAAATGGTACATAATAGACACTATATTGCCACAAGTATTAGGGGCACCCCTCCATATCATTGGATTCAGGTGTTCCAATCACCTCCATGGCCACAGGTGTAAAAAATCAAGCACCTAGGCATGCAGACTGCTTCCACAAACAATTTGTGTGAAAGAATGAGTTGCTCTCAGGAGCTCAGTGAATTCACGCATGGTACCGTGATAGGTTGCCACCTGTGCAATAAGTCCATCCGTGAAATTTCCTTGCTACTAAATATTCCACGGTCAGATGTTAGTGGTATTATAACAAAATGGAAGCAACAGGAACAACAGCAACTCAGCCATGAAGTGGTAAGCCACGTAAAATAACAGAGTTGGGTCAGCGCATGCTGAAGAGCACAGTGCGCTGAAGTCACCAACTGTCTGCAGAGTCCGTAGCTAAAGACCTCCAAACTCCATTGGGCTTTTAGATTAACACATCAACACTGTGTAGAGAGCTTCATGGAATGGGTTTCCATGGCAGAGCATCTGCATCCAAGCCTTACATCACCAAGTACAATGCAAAGCATCAGATGCAGTGGTTTAAAGCACGCTGCCACTGGACTGTAGAGCAGTGGAGAAGTGTTCTCTGGAGTGATGAATCACGCCTCTGTCTGGCAATCCGATGGATGTGTGTCTGGGTTTGGCAGTTGCCAGGAGAACGGTACTTGCCTGACTGTATTGTGTAAAGTTTGGTGAGGGGGGATTGTTTTTCAGAGGTCGGGCTTGGCCACTTTGTTCCAGTGAAGGGAACTCTTATGGCATCAGCATACCAAGACATTTTGGACAATTTCATGCACCCAACTCTGTGGGAATAGTTTGGAGATGGCCCCTTCCTATTCCAACATGAACAAACGTGAACAAAGCAAGGTCCACAAAGACATGGATGTCTTTGGGGTTGAGGAACTTGACTGGCCTGTACCAGTCCTGAACTCAACCCGACAGAACACCTTGGGATGAATTAGAGTGTAGACTGCGAGCCAGGCCTATAGATACATTCCTAACCCTTGTGGACAGCCTTCCCAGAAGAGTTGAAGCTTTTATAGTTGCAAAGGGTGGGACAACTCAATATTGAACCCTACAGACTAAGTCTGAGATTGCTTGATGTTTGCTTTAATTTCAGCTTTTGGAATTTGTTATACATAAATATGCTGTAGTTAACTTTGAAAACTGAGCTTTTTTGTATGACTTGATATGTTCTGAACATTCTCTATGTACAGCAGCTTATGTACAGCTGTTCCTTATAACCTGAAATCTTCAATAAAAACCCATTTGAGTAAAAAAAAAAAAATTCTCAACAGAAACATCAGACTATAAAACAGTGCAATTACACTTTGAAAAGTAGTTACCGCTGTTCAAGGTGCATTGATTGGAAACAATAAGTGATGAGACTAGAATGTAAAACTATTTCCCAAAATCTTAGTTTAAGACTCTAAAAAATGTAACTGGGCAGAAAAATTTATAATTACCAACCCCACATAATGAAAAATATATTTTTCATTTTTCTAAGGGATGACCTAACACAGAGTATTACTTACCTTACTTCATGTGTAAGCAGGGGAATCTTTGTTTATTACAGACATGTAGCTAGTACACTGTGGGAGGGTATACCAGACTTCTGCAGAGAGACTGCTTCTTTAACACAGAGAGCGGCAGTTCTTCTTTTGTAGCATGCTGTTGGGGGACAAGCTTTTTCTTTAATGTGTCATTTACCAAACATTCCATGCAGACAAATATTTGTAATGTAGTGTATGGGTTTTAAATTACAAGGATTAATTCACCTAGAATGAATGTTCAGTGAATCTTAAATTAATTCCTTTATAAATATTCCCCTGTGACTTTCATCACCTCTTGTTTTGATGCACCCAGTATACAGTATGTTTAGCTAATTTAAATGGAAAGATTCATTTTTCTTTATGGTTTACATGATTTATACTTAAACAGTATATTGCCATATTAAGGTGTGCATAACAAATATGTGTTTTCACCATAACATGATAAAAAAATCCTAGTAGAAGTATACTTTTCTTCAAAAATACATGGCATGTTGCATTCATGTATTCAGGTTAATGCAAATAAAAGCATAAATGTATATAGATGATATTTGTTTTATTTTAGGATGCAATAACATATGCATTATATTCAGTTAATTTTCATGTAGCATGGTCAGATGCAAGAAAAACTGTTTATTATCTTAGAGTTTAGAATATTGCCTAGGGGGAATGCACTGCTTATTCAAGAGTTCATAAACACTTTTAAACCATCTGTGAGCCTCAGCTTTATGCTTTCAGAAATGACAGTCATGTCAAAAAATCTTACAAGTAAAATTGACCTTCATAGAGGAATAGATAAATATGTATTTTTCTCTTGTAGCTCAACATAAAAATGTGACATATTTTATACCTATTTTCAAAAAAGAAGGGGAACGTTTAACAAACAGTTGTTACACAATGTATTTTATCAGTTATTTATTCACAGTTATTCACAGTTTAATTGCTACACGATACATTGCTATTCATAGTGCAATTGCAGTTTGCAGTGATAGCTTTTTGATTTTTTTTTTTTTTTGTTAGTTCATAAATTATACACGTATGGTAATTATTACTGGTGAAAAACATTAATTATATATGCACATACTGTATGTACAAAGTTTACATTTTATACATGTTTGCATCTTGGATATCCAGTCGGTTTTGATAGCAAAATCCTAGGGAATATGAAATCACTGGGACAGCTAATGGCTGCCTAGAGGACTGAAAAACTGTACGCAACAGTAAATTCAGCAGAGTGAAGTGTTTTTTTTTACCCGAGTCACACAAGTATTTAAATATGAAGCATGATAATGAAAAAAAGAAATTAGTTTTATCATGAAAGTTACACCAAGCTAACATAATAAAAGGAAAAAGTAGTATTTATTTAGTTCAATTGATTTACAGACAGTTAAGAATAAATGAAATAGATTTAATTTAATTTAATTTATATACTGTATTTGCTTTTGGCGTGTTCCTCTTATGTTGTTAGATCTGATAATTACATCTACTATATGCTTTTTATTCAGAAAGACCTAAAAAGTAAGTCCTGTTTTATGTCACTTCTCACACCGAAGCCCCCTACACATAAAAAAAGTCTTCAGTCAGGTGACATCAAGTATTAACTCTTCTGTCCTCTGATGATGGAGGTGAATGGTCTGTGTGAGTGCTTTTCAGCACAGTAGTATTCTGAGCCCAGGCCATAGTCATGATCAGGGATGAGTTCAGTGTTTGGTCTGAAAGTAAATTCTGACCAAACACTGGCTATTTGGATGTTCATCAAAAAATGCTAAATGTTTAGGTCAGCCTTTCTCAACCTTTTTAACACGGAGGAACCCTTGAAATAACTTTCTGGGCTCAGAGAACCCCTGCTAAAAATGACTATATCTACAACTCTTGGTACATTAGTATGATGGTCAGTGGGAAGAATGCTCCTTACACTTGTGGTCACTGGGAAGAATTACCTTCTTACCAACAGCTAAAAAGATCATTGGTGACAGTGGGAACTTATCTGAGAGGCAGAAATTGCTCATTGCTCAAGGAACCCCTAACAACCTCTGGAGGAACCCTTGGGGTTCCTTGGAACCCTGGCTGGGAAAACCTGGGTTGAACTGGGAAGAATGCCTCCCATACAGATAGCTAAAATGATCAATAGTGTCAGTGGGAACTTATTTCAGAGGCAGAAATTGCTCATTTCTCAAGGAACCCCTAGCAACCTCTGGAGGAACCCTGGTTGAGAAGCCCTGGTTTAGTGTTTTCAGTGTAGATGAATGTGACAGCTTCCAGCTTTCCATGGTTGATAAGGAAGCAATGGGTGCTTGCACCTTCTGCATCCTTACCAACTGCTAATGTTAACTGCCCCATTCACTTACATAAGCAAGTGGCTGGAGATTGGAGGGATTACATCATTGCCTATATATGCCCACATGGCACTCTTTGTGCAATGATGTCACTCCTATCCCAGCCCCTTCTCTTATATAGCTGATGGTACAGAATAGTGGTGGACATAATATTTAACAATAGATTTACAATAATGGGCTTTTTTGGGGCTTTGTTTATTTATTTTTGCTTTGCCAGGAGGATCCCCCTTGATAATCTGCCTCCTACGTTGAAGGCATGTGACCTGGTATCGTTCAGGAGGAGGTTGCCACATGCTAATACCCATTCTCTCCTGGTCAGCCAGGCTGCATTCTCAAATTAAGGGTCAGGAATGGATTTGTGTGTGTTTGTGTGTGTGCGCAGTCCCCTTAAAATCCATACCAGACTTGAATGTTTTGGCATGGCTTTCCTGGGGGAATGAACACATTTGTTTTTTACATACCCCCATAAAATCCATACCAGACTCCAAAGGGGTCTGGTATGCATTTTAGGGGGAATTTAGGACTTCTGTTGTGAATCTGAAGTCACAGTGTCTTCAAAGTGTCTAAAGCAACAAAAGTCATTGAGGGTTTGTTTCAAAGTGCGTCTAATGCTTGTTAAGAACAAATAACTACTTAAATGTTTATAGCCTGGACAGAGGTGCACTTGGAAGAAACTATATGGTGAAAACTATGCTAACCATTTTATTCAAGCAATCTGTGATAACTGTTTCTGAAAAGGTTTTTAACCACTTTCCAATCCATGTACACAAACGGCCAGACGGGAGCAGTGCAGGAGTGGGTTGCCATTCATAAACGGCGCCTGCATTTATAGGCTGTGCACACTTCCTGGGAGAGCGCGGCACTGTGATCTGGTGCCCGCTGTGTCCGGAGAACACAGCAGAACACAGATCGCTGTACGGGACCTCTGTGTGAGGTCCCAATCATGTGATCACTGATTGGCCAATCAGTGATCACATGAATAGTAATAAGCAAGATGTCACTTCTGACATCATTGCTTACCACTAGTGAAATCTGTGAATGATCACAGAGATCACATAGTACAAGGCTATTCACAACAGCCTTGTACCATGTGACAAGCTGTGACCAATCACAGCTGTCACAGTATTTCTCAATGGCTGCAAGAATGCAGCCAGGGAGAAGGAGAAATGATTGCTTTTATAGCCTTTATGAGTGTAAAAGCAATCAGTGTAAAAAAAAAAAAAAGAAAAAAAAAATCTTCATCACCCCCCACAAGTAGTACAGTGACACTGTACTGCTAGGGTGACAGTATGTTAAAAAAAAAAAAAAAAAAAACCATAAATAATAATATAAAAAAAAGATAAAAATAAAAAAAACATTTTTGAAAAATTATAATTTTGGTTATAAACTAATTTGGGTAATTTATTTTTACTGAAAAGGTAACAAATACATTTTGGCCACGGTTTATGAAGAAAGATTATTTATTTGCAAAATTTTATAAGAAAAACACTTTTTTCAAAATGTTTGGACTTTTGCATGTATATAGCAAAAAAATAAAAATCCCAGTGGTGAATAAATACCACCAAAATAAATTTTTATCTGTCTCAAAATAATGCTAAAAAATTCATATGGGTACAGTGTTGCATGACTGCGCAATTGTCATTCAAAGTGCGATAACGCTGAAAGCTGAAAATTGTCCTGG